CGCAAGACCAGGCGTTCATGATCCGACATGGATGCAGACGATGGGCGTTCACCCAGCGACATATCGCTAGTACTGAAGTTTGGCTTCGCATAAGGGAGGTGGGCACCATTCTGGCGTGTATTGACAGGGCTCGTTGGCGACTCGAGGAACTGTTCTTCAGGAGAGGGGTGAGTGGAGTCACTTCCTTTGGTTCGCTTCTTGAAAAAGTTCAGAAGACCTGTTCGGTGATCCTTCGGGTATGATGAGGGGGTCTCTCCGCCAGAGTGGCGATTATAGGATTCTTGGGGAGAAGGGCGTACTCCGTTGTCCTGTCTGTAAGACTCATAATACCGACGCCCAGTTAGGGAGTCTGCGCTGTTCCCACGAGAGTGTTCAAATTTGACACTCAAATCACCGGTCGATGAGGATGGCCCCGTTTGTGCAAGGGTGGCATGCTGTGTTGCCGGACTGCCGCTCTTAGGGCTGTCCTCATAGGGCCGAATGGGAGCTTGGAAAGTCCCACCATCGCTGGACATTGAAGGACTCTGTCTTTGGTGTTCCCCACCGATGCTAGACAGAACCGCCCTAGAATAGTCTGACCGCGGCCACATAGTGCCGGTCTCATTATTACCGAGTTCGGATGATGTGGGGTCATGGCTGGCGGGTATGGGCGTGGTGAAAGAGCGCATCTGTGTACTCTGCCTCTGATTATGGACCAGCTGGGATGCCTTGAATTTGGGACTGTTTGCGACACTTCCTGAGAACGGGCCGGCCGAGCGGGGCTCATGGGTCACCTTCGGGGAGGCTTCGTGCCCTCCGTCAAAAATAGCGTTGGGATGAGAATCTCGACGCCTCTGCATCAAGTAGTCCGCATCATAGCTGCCATCCTCGTGGATTTGGCGAATCAATTTTCGCATGCGTTTACCCTCCTCGCGTTCGCGAGTCTGATCCCAGCCTGAGCCGCTCAACTCGCATTCCTTTGCGAGCTGAGGATAAACGACGTTGTGCATCTTACCCAGGTTCGGCCGGCCATTGAAGCCATGTCCCAACTCCAGGAAGTCGGCGCCCTCGATTTCTAGTGCCCTAAAGGTTTCTTGCCAGTCCTTCGAAAAGCCATTTCTCGCAAGCCATAGGAGAACTCGATCGAGTGGCCATTGAACGGCCGCTTCGTTGGGAGACATGCCCCCGAGCAGAGTGCTGCTATTATTATGACGATGACTAGGCGACTTCGTAAGTTCATTAGTCGGCGCAGGCTGCAGTACTTGATTCTGGGAGGCTGTGGTCGGAAATCCCGACGCCATTGGTTCGTGAGAGCCGTCATTGACTGCTAATGCCGAAGGGAGAGTACGCGAAGACGGTGTGGAAGGTACATTTGGGTCCCGTTTGTACGTGGATGACTCCCCGATGGGATATTCATACGTCTGGGCAGAGGGGAGTCGCTGTCGTTCGACAGATGGCATGGTTCCTGGATTCTCGTAGGTCGGAGCAGAATGCACATCAAACGGTGGTATTCCGACACCCGGTCCGAAGGAGCCCGGTTGCGGGACGTAAGTTGCAGAGGTTCGGGTATCAGTGGAGGAAGGTATCGAGAGGGCAGTGGGACGACCGTAGGGCGATTGGTTTGTAGGGACCATAGGAGGGGGCGGCGGGGGAGGTAAGAAACCTTGGGATAGTGCCTGCCTGGCCCAGGTCTGTTGCTGCCAGCCTAACGTATTTTGGTGTTGCAGCTGAGGATTGGTGAGTTTGGATGCACCGTATCCTGCTCCAGGAGGTGGTCCAGGGGGCGGAGGAGGCATGACATTCTGGGATTGGGTTGGGGCGTATCGAGGCGGCGGTGGCGGTAGAGGTATCATATGCGCCTGGGAGGGCTGCGTCGCCGAAGGAGGAGGGACCGGGATGTATTGCTGCTGCCGTTGGCCATCCATGCTGACGGTGCTTGGGTATCACCGTTGCGAAGAAGCGATCTTGATCGGATGCCGAATCGCAGATAGTCTGCACCGAGAATTCTAAGAAGTTCTACTACTTGTTCGGAAGTCCCTCTCAAGAAAGCGAGATTATGCACGTCACTGAGGCCGAGAAATATAGATCATCAGCGATCAATGATGGAGGAAAGTCCGCATTCTCAATGCTCCCAGAAAGCCCGGTAATGACCCTAAGCGATTTCGACCAGGTCGCACAGGGAACACGAAGTACTGGCGAGGTATTCAGGGGAGGGCAGATAAAGGAGACGGACGCGAGGTATCTCGATGCACGATTGTAATCATGCGCAGCTAGCCTCCAAATCGGGTACGTAAGCAGAATCGGCAGGTATCTGCGGCCATCGGCTTCGATAGATCGAATCTCGTGAGGTTGCGGGCGGGCGGGCAGAATCGTGCGCACGTTGTTGTGAGTCGAGTAGGCAGCACGATCCTTGTGTGGGTAACGAACTATATTTCAAGAGAGATGAAGAAGTTAGAATTAAGCGACAGCTCCAGAAATTGAAAATTTGCGATGATCCGCCCCCCCTGATAATAGGTCTGTCATTAGTTGAAGGGGGAGGAGGGGGGGAGAAAGGGAAAGGGCAGGAAAGGACGATACCGCGGAAGATTGGCGCGGGAAGCTAAAAAACATACCACTAGCAATTTGAAAGAGATTAGTTTCCCACGTTTAAATTAAATGCCACTAGTTGCTCATTAGAACGGTTCCTTGAGATAAATGAAATGTCTTTCCTCAGCAAGCCAGAGAGCCTGCTTGCCATTCACGATGGGGTAAATCAGGCCCGGCCCAGGCTTCGTAGAAGAGGAGCTTTGATGCGCTGGCCGCCTTAGCGCCCCCCCTTCAACGTCCCATCTCGATCACGTGGTGGTCCGATAAGCTGTCGCAGTCAAAGCACTTTGCCTGGTTCATTAATTCTTCTCTGCATTCCCCAGCCAACATTCCTTGAGTCTTGGCATGGACTCCCAGAATGCCTTCTGTTCAGCTGCCGCCGCGTCCTGGCATCTGGATCTGGGGCCCTTACCGATGAGACACTGTCAAATCGAATTGGTGAAACAACATGACAGAGAGATCCATCACGTAATCCAGTCACTCCAAGCCGGGCTGCCCCAAAAGAGTTAGTGCCATCCCACGGATGATTGCTAGAACTATACAAGTTTCAGACGCTCATCTTATGCGCTCCCCCCTTTCAACACCTTCAATACTACCTTCCACGTTGGCTCCAGTGATCAACTATCCACGCCATGAAGAACTAACGCTGGCTAACTTAACACTAACCGGCGATCACGGTGTAACTCAAGACGGCAAATCTCATTCTTGACTAGTGACACTTGTATAATGAAATGTCTGATTCCAGACGTTCTCATGTCTCACGTCGAAACCCACCCCAAGCACTATTTGGGATGGGTTTGACCTCTTCCTCTGGCAAGCCTAACCGAACTCCCTTCCTCCTGGTGCTATCCTCCTCCAGACTCGGGAGCACGTCTGCGATCACAGATGCCGTACCACCACCCAGCCTTCTGACCCATTCGGCCTCTGCTCTCTCTCCTCGAAGAACGGCCGAAAGAGCGCTTGGATGATCTTATCGGGGCGACACTGCTCATAATACTCTCCGGTGGCAGGGTCAACCGTGCGACCCGTCATCAGCGGCATGCCAACCAAGATCCGCGAATCCCGCGGCAGGACCTGCGCGAAGATCCGACTGACAGTCTGGGAGGCGGCCTTGGCGATACTCAACGAAGCCACGCTCGGGTCCGGGTGCTTGTCCAGGACACCGCCGGTGACCAGGAACAAGGGCCACTCGCCCTGCGAGACACCCTCCACCCGGGCATGTCCCCGGAACCACTGGCCGGCGACCAGGGTCCCGATCGCGGAGACGCGGAAATCCAGCTCCAGCTCCTCGGGCGTGAGGGTCGCGATGGAGGAGTCCGCCACCCGCGCGGCGTTGTAGCTGAGGACGTCGAGGGTCCCGCCGAGTTGGTGCAGACACCAATCCAGAGCGGAGGTCAAGCTGGCCGGGTCGCCGGCGTCCGCGGTGTAGTGGACCACGTTGACGGTGTGCTTGTCCGGGCCCGCGTAGCGGACTTCCTCGGAGATGGCGGCCAGGCTCCTCTCCGAGCGGGAGATCAGGGCGATGTTCCATCCGAGACTGGCGAGCCACATGGCCAGCGACCGGGACATGGAGGAGCCGACGCCCACGATGATGATGTTGCGGTTGGTGCTGACGCCCATTTTTTGTCTTACGCTGTGTGCCTGAATCCAGAAGACTGGAAACTCACAGTATCGTGCTTGTATCGGTGCATTAAAGCAGTAGGTAAGGTGATTGGTGCGCGCGAAGAGGCTGACAGGGTGGTGAGGTGAGGGGCAATTTCTACGTTCTGCTTATATCCCATTAACATGGTAGCCTAGACCTTCTCTTTTCCCCTTCTCGGCTGAATGCGTGATTACGGGGGAAGGTACTATACAAAGGACCTTCATTAAATGTATGATGCCTATAGCGCTCGTAACGCCCTGCCTGGAAGACGGAATACGACCAATAACGTCACCACGGTCTTGGGAGATATACGAAGCGGGGAATCCCGACAATCGACCAGGCTGTTCTAGCCCGCATTTTTTAAGAAGAAAAGAATGTAAGGATATTCGGTCATGTTCGGCCTCTAAAGACGTATGGTTCAGGCAATTCTCCGGACGAAATACGCGTAGAATGCGAGATGGCCGGAGAGACGTGGGCCGTCACACTACGAACTTAAGCACTGATTTGGAAAGGTTCTCGAACATTGGAACTTGGAACGCCGGCTCCCGATATGTCACCACCCAGAGGTTCCTCAATGACTATTCAAACGGCGATAGAAGCTCACCATCTATAATGTAACCTTTACAACGGAGAAGCTAACACTAACTCATCTTGGATTGTTGTCATTATCATTACAATACATATTGAAAATTCGATGTAACCGAACCACAGCTTTCTTAATGCAATTGGCTGTGTTTATTGGGTCCTTGAATCGGCTGGATCTTGGTCAGTCTCGTCACGCCACGTCGTGAAACTGCTTTGCTCGAAATAAGGTTTTTTCTTTTCCAACTTGGAATACAACCAACGGATCGTGGAGCGGGAAAGACGGCGGGCGAGTTGCTCGATTGGCGGTTCGTGGTCATTATCATTACTTGTTTCTCGCAGCAGCCGCTTCGGCGGTGATCTTCAGCGCGGCGGGGGCATCATCCCTGGGCATGTGAAGCTCAACCAACTGTGGTGTGTGGTCAGTGATTGCGGTGGATTAAGGTCTCTTGGGCTTGAATTAAGACTTACCTGCAAGTGCGGAGCCGAGTTGAATTCTTCGTTCGCGAAGAGCTGCTTCAGTTCGTCGCGAGTGGTGACCTTGTGGCCGGTGTACTTGTCCTTGGCTCCGAAGACGGTCGGCAGGGCCTTGTGATCCCAGGGTTGAATGTCGTTGTAGCTCTCGTCCCAGCCGTGGATGTATCGTTCAATGGTGTAGCCGTTGTTGCAGATGACGAAACTGGTTGGCTTGTCAGTGTATGTAGCAAACAGCAGGATTGGGAAGCACGCTTACATGATGGGGTTGAGGTTGTTTCGGATCATGGTGCTCACCTCCTGCACCGTAAGCTGGAGACTACCATCGCCAACGAAGAGGACAGTGCGACGATTGCCGAGCTCTTTAGCCGCCAGAGCAGCACCCTGGCAGGCGCCGACCGAGTATCCAATGCTGCCCCAAAGGACTTGGCTGATAGCGGTGACATTGGCGGGGAATCGGGTCTCCCAGATACCAAAGTTCGCCGTACCAGTCTCGGTGATGACGATGTCGTTTTCCTTAAGCCACTGTCCGACCTTGGGCCACAACCACTGGTGAGTGATCTCGGTGGCTGAAGAAGTCTTCTCTTCCTCGGGCAATGCGTTGGAGAGGTGCGGAACCGGCTCGGCATTCACCTTACCCAGCTTCTGGATGACCTTGCGCAAGACCCCCTTCATGTTGATGTTAGGGTATTCGGAGTAACGCACGCGCACGTAGTTGCTGTGGAAATCGATGGTGTTGAGCTGTCCGATACGGTACGTGAATCCACTGGTGTTGAAATCAGACTTGATGGCACCGATGCTCAAGATAAGATCCGAGGATTCGACTTGTTCGCGCACACCTGCGTTCGAACCCGTTCCGGCGTAGACTCCTCCATAGTTGGATCGCGTCTCGTCCACGGCACCCTTGCCCATTGGTGCCACGAACGTGGGCAGGCCAGAGGCCTCCATTAGATCGTGAACTTCATCGAGAACACGGTGGCGAATAGCACAGGCATCAACCAGAATGACAGGCTTCTTTGCGGCATGGAGGTATTTCAAAACAACGTCGACCACGTAGTCTTCCTTCTCGGTTTCATTGGCGGGAAGGGACAGATCCAGCTTCGTGTTGAGTCTCTCGCCTTCAACCTGCTTCGTAATCATATCGGTAGGCAGCGTGATGTAGACGGGACGACTGCGGATCCAGCATTCGCGAATGGCGTTGTCAATCAGAGTTGCGACCTCGAGAGTCTCGGTCAGGCGGGCAATTGAGCAGGAGACCCCGGTGTTCATCTTGGTGAAGACGTCGAAGTCGCCGTTGCCGAGAGTGTGATGGAGCAACATTCCATCTTTTTGGGACTGAGAGCTGGGCTGACCCACGATGTGAACGATAGGCACGTACTCGGAGTAAGCGCCAGCAATGGCGTTGAGGGCTGACAGCTCGCCAACTCCGAAGGTAGTGATCAAGGCACTAATACCATTGACTCGGGCATAACCATCCGCAGCGTAACCTGCAACCTTGTTAGTCTGACACCACAGATAATGAAGGTGCGGGTCCCAGGAGAGTAACCATACCAGCATTGAGCTCATTGCAATTACCCACCCAGTTGAGACCGCACTTTGGCAGATAGTCTAGAGCTGCGAGATTGTAGTCACCTATGGAAGTGCGACGAGATTAGAAGGAGAGCAGGAAGCAAGGCTTGAGGTAGGCAACTCACCGGGAACACCGTGCACTGAGCGGACCCCCACCTCGTGAAGACGGTGGAAGAGATACTCAGCGACAGTAATAGGCTTCTTGAGCTCTCGGGTGACGATCTCGTTAGTTGTCATCGCGAAAGCCAACGAGACGAACAGTAGTTGAAGGTAATTGAAGATATGAGAAAAAGGATGAACAGTGTATAAGAGGAAAGGTTGAATGTTTACGCGGAAGAGGGGGAGCATAAATAGTAGTGGAAGAGTTCTGGCCCTGAGAGTTGGTTGGTTGTACGTCATGAAGATAGCGTGATGTCATGCTGAATGGGCATAGCTATTAGCTGGGATTTGCTCTTGTGTTACCACCCTTTGACTACAAGTACCGTACTATCCGTATCCACTCTCAGGTGCTTGAACGCCGGGCTACCCGAGACATGACCGCGGGCTGTAGCCATAGGGATTGCATTTGACCCTGGCACGATGTCGGACCGGAAAGATCAGTGGTTCGATGGTAAAGTACGACAACGGACGGACATACTCACACGTTGCCAGGTGGTTGCAGTGACCCGTCCGGCCGAGAACAAGCCGTCAATCACTCCACCTTCCAGTGAATGGTAAATGGTTCGAGCCGGAAGTGGAATGACGATCTCGCTGTTGCTCTCCCTGCGCTAGTCCCAAAATGGAATTTTGGATGCCCCGCCGCCTTGATCTTTCCTGCTTATCGCTCTCTCCAGGCAAGAAGTTGATGCATGCATCTAGAATCTCATTATCACGCGTAATTCCGGCAACCAAGGCTCGCTTCCCGCACTGCTCCCACCTCTAGAAAGGTGCTTGATTCGTTGGCGGAAGTGATCCTTCGTGAAACACCGACGACAATCCAGTGTCTGACAACTGCGCATGGCTGGAAAGGGAAAACGGTCCATGCCTGATAACATGTCGGCCCAGTCGTCTAAGAAAAGAAAGGTTCGCACCCTTGAAACCCATTGCCACCAAAGTCAGCCCATGGACTTCATGATTTCCCTAATCTCCTATCTAACGCACAGCTTAGGGTGGTGGTGGTCAATGGCGCAAGCCAGGCAATAAAGCAGGGATCGAGGGTGGTGATTGGGGAGTTTTTGTGAGTTGCGACATCGGAAAAGAGACCAAGTGTATGTCGGAGGCTGTGGATTTGTTTACACAGGTACGTGTTATCCCGGCCCTGTCGAGTGGGGTCTTCCTCGCTTCTCTGTGGCTGGTATCCTTCCCATCTGAGAGCCGTGAACACTGTCTAACATGCTCTGTCATTCAGAGCATCGAAGGGACTGAGAAAGTCGACGATGGGGACAAGTCCGACTCAGATGAAGATGACATCGAGGCGATGATCAAAAAGGAGGTCGAAGGGCTGAAGCCCAGCCAAGCCAAGTCTCGTCCGTTCCAAGCAATTCGAATGGACTTACCATGTCGTGCGTTTGACCTCCATATGGAATTGTTGATATCGCCAATTACTGATTCTGCTAGTATCGTTCATTCGATTTGACAAGTCCATTGATCCAGAGCAGATGGTACATCAATTGTGCCTTGATGCGCACGCTCATCCCGAAAAGAAGCGCTCTCGGTACATACAACGCATGACTCCTGTCAAATCGGTTCGCAAGACTCTCAGTGTCGAACTGGAGTCTTTCGCGCGTGAGGTCCTCAAATCTACCTTTCACTCTGGAGGTCCTCCGAAGAAGGTACGTTGTTGTTGTTGTTGTTGCTGCTGCAGTGGCCCTCGCTCCGAAACCCACGAGAACGTACTAAGCCATGACATCTCCAGTACGCCATCCGGCCAGTCGTAAGAAGCAACAAAAAGTTCAGCAGGGACACGGTAATCAAGACAGTTGCCGATGTCGTTGGTACTGAACACCCCGTTGATCTCAAGAACTATGATATACTCATCAACGTCATGGTTATCCAGGTAAGCCTTGAGAAAACAAATGCACTTCAGGTCCTCATGGTTAACATTCTATGCCACAGAATGTTATTGGTATCGGTGTCGCAGGAAGCGATTATGAGCAGCTGAAACGGTATAACCTGGCCGAACTATATACTCCAACTGCAGCAGCGCAGGCTGCTGAGACTGAGACTTCTGAAGTCTAGAGCCAGCATCGTATCAGATAGGTCTGTTGAACGAACTTCTCCGAAACAACTCGGACATATCTCTAGAAACAAATTTTTGGAAGAAACAAATGACTATTACTCGAACTACAAAAATGCGCCGCTCCTGACAAGTGACTCTTGCTACTTGGGAGAAGTTCGGAAATGGCTGGGATGATCTGGACGGATTGAACGGTGAAATCGGACGCCTTACCCGGACTCGTATTCGACGTAAGCTTATGTCTCTGGCACGTAGGCCGAAAGTCACGGTGATGAGCGATGCAGTCAATACGAGGGGACGCGTCAGGCTGCAGTGACTGCACTGCTTTGACTGATTCAAGCTGGTTTAGCTTACAGTCGCTTGGGACTATTATCATCACAGAGTTGGCGCTCTCGGATATATGGGGATCTAATTGCGGGTGTAGTGAGCCAAATGTAAGTTTTTGCGGGATTTGTCTGGAGAGTGGTAATTCCGTTTGTCAATGGTTTTAAAAAACATTGTTGGAAAGTCGTGAGTTGCCCAAGTTGGGGAAGTCAACCGAAGGTTTTTTTTCCCCTCTAACAGCATCCACAAGCCGGGGAGTCCACAATCCACATTCTGTTAGATCGAAGGGTCGCAAACATGGGGCAATCGGTGAAGCTCACGCCCCAGGGAACCTGAACCAAACTTGCAGCGACGGTCCGTCTCCGACTAGACTAGATCAATGATGGACATGCAAAGCGATGTTGCAGGCAGAGACTCATAGCACGCAAGGGACCTTCTACCTGACAGGTCGAGTGAAGTTCAATTCAGTAGAAGATTACCAGTAGCTCCCTCCAAACCCGACCGAATGGAAACATTGCTGTCACTCTTGCCCAGGCTGATCTAGTCCTACTAGTGCAGTGTGTACATGTGTACATTAATATAATCCAACCTACTAGTGACACCGTAGTATTCTAGATGAACCGGAGGAGCCAACCATAGGTCAACGCGAGGTAAGGGCTTGCATTAGACTACCTAGTAGTACCTTGTACGTAGCGACTGCGACTCCATTGCAAGGAAACTAGACTAGAGCCGGGGATAGATTCCTGATCGTTGTTTAGTATCACGATCAAGTGTCCAGTTCATCAGCAATTCAGCATGGAAGCGAAAGCCTGGAGCCGGCAGATCCTTCCGCGATATTGCATTCGGTAAAGCGGTGCTATGATTGGGCGGGGCCCGTTTCACCTGCATGGCGCCTTTCTCAGAGCGGGAGAGTTAGGCGAGCCCGCGAGGCGGAACCTTACTCAGACTCAGACCCTCTCTCCTTTACTACTCCAGTACTCGTTCTATCGCATTGGAGTCTTTCGGACTTACATCTACTTCCATTCACCATGGACGCATTGCGCAAATCCTCCAACTCGCTTAATCTGCTCCAATGGGGAAATATGCCCCCAAACTACCGTGAGACTCTTACCAGTCTCCTGCGCCCCTGGTTAGCACAGAGTTGTATATATTCCGGTTAATCAAGCGAGGAGATACGGTCAATCTTGCAGGACAGCATCCGGCTTTCTGGCCAGCGAAGCATGTTGGGCCTGGCTTAATTTAACCATCGACTGTCTGCCACCTATTGCCAGGAGAACATCTCCGGTTCTTCAGCCTGCCAAAGAACAATACCCCTCTCGCACCCCTCTTACTAAAAGCTGCAATGGTTGCACGGTGTCCGATCGATATTACAGACCACGACGCTTATGATGTTATAAGAAACTTATAGAGCCTGATGGGACTTGTTGGCTTTTCTGCATTCATTCATCCCTCCCTCTCCTTCCATCATGTCACCTTCTTTCTCTGTCTTGCCAACTTGCAAGGTTGAACCCCCAAGTACAAATACTATTGGTTCAGTGCTCCAACGGCACTTTCCGCCTTCGGTCCAGATTCAAGAGGTATATCCTCTGGAGGGTCATCTACATTCCGTCAGTCTCCTGATACTTTCAAATGGAGATCAATGGCTTCTGAAATGTCCACCTCGGTCGACAACACCTCTTTTACGGCGAGAACAGCTCCTGCTTGAGACGGAAGCACGAGCCCTGTCCATTCTAGGGCAGAATGCAACTCCATATGTGCCATCGTTTGTACATTATGGCTTTCAAGGTGGCCCTTTTGGGTCTGCCTTCTTAGTCAGACATTATGTCACAGGCATGACCTTGAAGGAGATGGGACCCCGACTCACGACGCAAGAACGCCGAAAACTGGACAGAGATCTGGGATCGCTGATCCAACAAATCGGACAGCCCCTTTCGAACTCCTTCGGCTCGCTGGAGCAGGTGGCCTGTGGGCGGGGAAAGCTTTCCTGGAGGGACGCTTTTGTCGTGCTCTTCGAGGACATTCTGCGAGACTCAGAAGATGCTTTTGTTCATCTCCCCTATTCCGAGATTAGGCATCACGTTCGCCGCTTGTCATATGCACTGGAAGAAGTCACTCTACCACGGTTGGTAGTGATTGGCCTAGGCCGTCCGTCACAAGTATTTCTGGATCCGGCGTCCAGAAAACTGTCTGGAGTGACGGGCTTTGGCCATGCATTGTGGGGTGACATATATATGGCCGAGGTCTTCGAGGATCCTTCGCCTGCCATGCTCGAAGGCTTTGGCACTCGACTTACGAAGAGCGAGTCACAGGTGACTCGTCAATTACTGTAAGTGACTCCGAACCCGTTCAACATCATGGAAGAAAGCTAATGATCGGTGCAGTTATGCTTGCTACCGCTCTGTCCACAACATCACAATACACTATTATCGCGATAAAGACATGACTGCTGAGATGGAGGCGAGGAGACGGCTCACGACAACCTTGGCAGAAATGAGTGCCATTAAAGGGGCTCGATGATGTGCCAGGAGTCAGCTGATTGACGACTATGAGCAGGTTGGGATGATGATTGCATGACTTGAATGCTCGTGTTCTTAGACTGTTCTTTGTTTGTATTTAGCGAGAACTATACAGAGCGCAGATCTTTGAAAGAGCCTTGTTTTTAAACACCACGATCTAGGTGTAGCAAGCAACTCAAATCGCATAGGGCCGGTACCCATAAAAGCCAATTATAAATATTCTACCGTGAAGGGAACTCCGGTCATTTGGAGGCCGACATCAAGATTATCTACGGGAGTACGGTGTTCCTCGGCGGTGAGTGAGAAGAACATATTGTTGCTGCCTAAGTAATTCATACAAGAAAGGTTACTGAATAAAATTAATGAGTCCGGTGAAGCAAGAATGAAACTGAAGGAGCAGCCATTATACACTTCTACTCGATAGCTATATCTTGTTTGCAAATATAGGGAAATTATCCAGCAGTTGAACAATGGGCAGGAGAATTAGACCTACTGTCTGTAATTGATCATCACATGTTTACTCAGTAACTACGTAGTAACTTCCTTGTTATCGCACCGTAACTGGGAGCGGCTAGTGCAGGGCGGGCGGGTGATCCAGTTTGCCCCGCCCCGGACCGCCGCCCATAAGGCAATCAATCAATCAGCCTTAATGCCGTCAGTCAACTTGGAACCTTTGCTTTTCTTCCCCGCGGTAATGACCTTGCCCTTGACTTGATCGTACCTTCTTGGGGTCGCCGCTGGTCTTTGTTCCAATTTCCTATTCTATATCCTATCTCTATCCACGTTCGACCTTCACTGCCCATTCTCCATTTTTCCACCTCTGTGAGAATGGCGCACTTCCTGAGAGGGAAACAGGCCGGCATCCAGAAGGACTTTTCCGAAGGGCTGTCGCCGGACCTGTTCGCCCTCGATGATGTACGTCGTCTGTGCCGAATCTACCTTCAACTCTCCCCACTGCTGAAGCTTACTGAGATCCTCTTACTATTGAATTGTATGTGCTAACGAGTCTTTTTCAACCTACCAGTTCGCTCGCTGCGGTATCAACTCTCAAGTCAGTGCTATTGCCTACGATCCGATTCAGTCCCTCCTTGCAGTCGGAACCAGTGATACCCAGTTTGGACATGGTCAGATCTACGTGTTTGGTCAACGGCGCGTAGCGGTCATCTTCTCGTTGCCTCGCAAAGCCTCTGCGAAACACATTCAGTTCTGCGCCGACAAGCTCGTTAGTGTCGACTCGAAAAGTGAAATCACAATCTTCTCCCTTGAGACCAGCAAGACATTGGTTTCGTACGCACCCCCGAGCCATGCGAGTGCGTTATTGACCGACCCGAGTCTCGACTATGCGTTCATTGGTTTGCAGAATGGTACGCCCTCCGCTAGAATTCGCGTGTGATTCCTTTTCTGATGACATATGCCAGGCGACATTATCGCATACGATCTGGATCGTGAAACTTTGACGCCCTTCAGGGTGCCGAATCTGTGGGCTCAACGCAATGCGCGGACGCGTATGTGTCCGGTAATCAGTCTCGCCTTTTCTCCTCGCGACATTGGCAAGATCTTGGTCGGGTACCCGGATGGCGCAGTGACCTTCTCTTTCAAACAAAACGTCGCACAGAAATACTTCGAATATGAAGTGCCTCCAGGCGCGCTGGGTGGGAATGCGGAGGTACCAATTTCGGACTTGCGCAGACCCAGGTTGACCCAGGCTCTCTGGCACCCGAATGGCATCTTCGTTTTGACGGTTCATGATGACAATAGCCTGGTTTTCTGGGATTCGAAGGACGGTCGCAAGGTGATGGCTCGGTCCATTGACACCCCCAATGTCGATCAGCCAGGCGTAAGTCCCGAGAGGCCTTCTTCGGCCGGAGCCACTGGGTTCAAGGATCCGATCACACACGTCGCGTGGTGTGTCAAGGACAACGGTGATGACAGTGGGCTTTTGATTGCTGGTGGTCGGCCAAAGGCCGAGTCCCTCAAGGGCCTTACCTTTCTGGACCTGGGCCCTACTCCGAACTATCAGACGTCTACCTGGCCAATGATTTCGAAGTACTTCGAATCTCCAAGACGTGTCTCGGTCCTACCCACCCCACCTGGAGGTGAGGTGGTCGACTTTTGCCCTATTCCACGCAGCACTCCTTATTTTGGTGGCGCCCATGACCCCATTGCCCTGATTGCCCGCTTGTCCTCGGGAGAACTGATTACCATGAGCTTCCCGACTGGACACCCTATCACACCTACAAATATGCTTCACCCATACCTGTCTTTCGTGCACCCGTTTGTGACCAAGGCGACATTGAGCGCAGTTGATCGCTCTGCTTGGTTGGGCTTGAAAGAGCGCAGGTCACAGGGGCCTAAGTTCCTCTTGGGCGGCGCAGAGGCCAAGAAAGCACTTAAACGCTTCGAAGATCGAAACATCATCACCACCGCCCATGCGGATGGCACTATTCGCATCTGGGACGGAGGCATTGACGACGAAGTTGAAAACGGAGAGATCATACAAGTGGACTTGGCCCGCGCAGTAGGCCGTGTGGGCAACGTCGAAGTCACCGAGATGTCTCTAAGTGGTTCAACGGGTGAGCTGTCTGTAGGTCTCAGAACTGGTGAGCTTGTTGTCTTCCGTTGGGGAAGCAACAAGAATTTCGGAAGTGAGCAGCCCCCAGGTGCCAATGAAGGGCCCGGTAAGTTGACCTCGATCACCCATCGGGTTGATCCTGGGCTCAAGCAAGGCATTCTTCCCCTCACCCTCCTCAACATGCAACAGGGACCAGTGACTGCTTTGAAACACAGCCAGGTTGGATTTGTCGCAGTCGGTTTCGAAAGCGGAAGTCTAGCAATCATTGACTTGCGCGGGCCGGCGATCATCCATACAGCCCATTTTTCGGAGTTGCTGAAGGCAAACAAGAGGAGCAGCTTCTTCAAACAGCGCAGCTCCGAGTCTTCCTCTCCAGAGTGGCCCACATGTATCGAGTTCGGGGTGCTTACACTCGAAGGAGAAGGTAAGCTGTTTTCAAAAACAGTTCACACGCGCTTGAAAGGCTGATGATCTTTCTAGACTACTCAAGTATCTGCTGCTTTGTGGGTACCAATAAAGGTAATCTGGCGACTTTTAAGATCTTGCCAGCGGATAATGGTACCTACTCGGCAGTCTTTGCTGGTGCAAGCTTACTAGATGATAAGGTCATCAACATCATTCCAATCAATGCTGATAGCGGCAATCCTGCTTCGGCTTCTCCTAACGCTGTTGGAGGCCTCCGCAACGGCATCAGAGTGAATGGAGTAGTGGTTGCCGTGACCGTGTCAGGGTGTCGAATTTTCAAGCCTGCGACATCCAAGGGCGCTCATAGGTCTTGGGACGATTACCTCTGTGATTCTGCTACGGTAGTCAAGATCGAGGGCCGCGGCTATAGCCTTGTTGGTCTTTTTGGCGACGGAAACACACGGGCCTTCTCTATCCCCGGACTCAAAGAGATCGGTTGCAGCCCGATCAACCAAATTGCCGACATGAGACGACTTGCCGATGCCAGTGTCTCCTCTAATGGTACCGTCATGGTCTGGACAAGCCCTTCAGAAGTGGGGTTGTTTAATGTCTGGGGAGCAGGAACTGGCCTGTGAGTCGATGCGAAGGCATTTATTCTCGGTACACAAGTTATTAATCTATATCACAGCCGGCCTTCTGAGGACCAATTGTACAATCCTCAAGCAATCGTTCCACCCCGACCAACGATCACGAATATCCAATGGATCTCCGGCACGCAGTACATCTCGCCGGCCGACATGGACTTACTTAGTGGGTATATCTCCATCTTATTTTGTGCATGAAAAACTAACAGCATTCTCTAGTTGGTGGTCCCGATCGCCCACCCTCAAAACGCATGCAGGAACAGATGCGGTTGGACGAACAGGAGCGTCGAAAGGCATTCAGAGAAGGCAGGACAAACACAAACCAGTCTTCAGACTCAGGCAATCAGGAGGGATACTGGTCCTACATGCAGCGTCAGGTCACGGAGCGTACAGAGCGGCTCAATCTAGCTGGTGACCAGATGGAACGATTGGAAGAGAGCAGCAGCAACTGGGCTCGAGACGTCAACAAATTCGTCCAGACCCAGAAACGGAAGGCTGTCATGGGCGGTAAGTACACCTTGATCTGGGAATATGCTAGGCCATACTGACAGAGTGACCACAGCCCTCAGTTCCAAATTCGGTCTCTAAACCGCTTTTCTGGTCGTCACCTTCGACCTATGAGGAGAAAAGAGTTGTGTTTCTCAATTACCTGATATTGGGCTCTACTTATTCATACCCAGCTTTTGTCGGCGTTGATTGATGTTTGTGTTCCTTAGCAGTAAGGAACTTCTCATGAATAGATGACTTTCAGATATTGCCGAGAAGCTTAACCTTGGACTATACATGCATCGAAATATACTAAGCATTGTACCTATTCTGGCGGATTTGCCTCCGACCACACATGTCCCATTATTTCTGAGGCCAAAATCGCATGCACTCCGACACCCGGAGAATCTTACTACGTACTGTACAGACTCCTGTACAGCCCAGCCCGGCGGTCCACTTTTCCCCCGGATATTTACATTTCTGCCTCAAGCACGAAGGCCACATATTAGCAAGAACTTCTTCCGTCGGCGATTACCAGCTACCTGCATACCGATACTATGGTGGAAACACACTACATTTCAAAGCACAGTACCCTTACTTACCCACCGCACCGTCTTCCCTTCTCCAGTTCACTCTCCCTCCCACTTTCACGGCACATCTCGCCTGCAATTCCCCCTCTCCTATCCATTTGATACTTCTATCTCACGCAACTGACCTCATCAACCCCCTACAATCCAGCCCCAACCTCCCAACGGTAGCAAAGCCCCTCGGCGCAAGAGCTTCAGCAAAGTTGACGGCGAGGGTAAGGTACCCGGTTCTACAAGCCCCCAAAAGGTACTGTACACATAGACAGGAACTGAGTTTCCTGGCTACTGTATGTACAGCATTGGGTTTCAAGACTCCCCCTCCCTTCAGCCTTGCGTGATTCCGATGTCAGGGGTCGAGGAGTTGCCACGGGTACGTGGGACAACCCCCGTTGATCTGATCTTCTCCTTGCTTTTCTTGGGGTTTGTTTTATGTCCGGTGGGAGGAATGTACTGTACAGTATAGGGTTGGGTTTTATTCATTTTCGAGTCGGGAGGGGTTGGGGTTGAAAATTTTCTTCCTATTTTGACTCGGGAACGGTTGGGTTTAGGGGTTATCGGAGAGGAGCATGTGAGGGAGTTTTTTTTCTGGAAGGTCAAATTATGGTTTTGGTTCTTTCTATGTCAAATAAATACTGCGGAACCTTTTTTGGGTTGAATGGGAATATGATATGATAAGATGTATCATCGAAAAAGAAGCACGTCGCAAACCCAATCGTAAAATCATTTCGAAGGATACCAAGTAGAAGCAAAGAATAGAGCAACGACTCTCACGCCCAAGCCCACACGCACACACACACAATCCATGGAGAAGGGTTCAAAGCAAGAGGGAACGGTCACTAGTGGACCATCAGTTCCGGCTGATGGTGGGTAGTGGGGTTGTTGCTGGCGCCGCCGGCCGCCTCATCTTTGGGTTCCGAGTCATCGCCCATCTCGATGTCCTCGTCGCCGTCGCCGCCCTCTTCCTCGTCGAGCTCCTCCTCGTCGTCGTCACTCTCGTCCTCGATGTCTTCACTCTCCGCGTCGGAGATGTCCTCCTCGTCCCCGGCGGTGGCCTCCCCGCCTTCCATGTCCTGGTCCTCGCCGCGGGAGGGATCCGTTCGCTCCGCTTCCTCAAGCTCCTTGACCAGGGCGGCCTCCAGCTCGGCCTCCTCCGCACCGTATGTGTTGCTGTCGTCGACGAGGTCGGCATCCGGCTGGTCGGGGGGGTATTCGGCGGGGGCAGATTCATCCGAGTCCCTGGCACGGAAACATTAGCAGTGGGCGCGGTAAAGTGTTAAGGGCTCTAGGACGACTTACCACTTGATCGCAAATCGAGTGACACGCGGCTTCTCCGCCAGGATGTTGCGACGGATGCGCTCGATGATGGGCTTGGCAGGCGGGTCGGCGGTGAGCTCCTCCGAATCGTACTCGTTGTTCACGTAGTATCCCACCCGCACGAACTCCCGACCGTCGTAGCTGCAGGTGAGGAGGATGACGGTGACCCCCAGGATCTCTGAGGTGGGGATGCGCTTCAGGTCCGGCGGGTCGGCTTCGAAGATGAACTTGTTGACGCCCACCGGGATGGGGCCCACGAGTAGCGAATCGAGCTCTTGGTCATATTCGGAGCTGGGAAACTGAGGGTTAGTGTCTGGTAGGAAGTATCGGAGATGCGGTTGGGCTTTTGGGGCGGGGGGGGGGGCTTACGAGGTGGCAGAACCGACGTAGGTGAGCTTCCACTCCAGATCTATTTTGTTGGAGAGATTTAGCGGCCGCGGCTGTAGGTAGGTGGATAGGTATGGAGAGACTATTTCGTTTTTTTTTTACCTTTTTGGAGTTGTTCAAGGCATTCGAAGGTGATCTCGAATTGGTAGGGCGCTGTGAAGGGGGCGGGATTGTTGACAATCTTGACGCCGAGGAGAGAGACGACCGACATGGTGGTTTGGAACGGAGGTTGTGAAGCCTTAACTGAGGGCTTGGCTATGAGTAAGGAATTATCGGATGAAAGGGTGTTGAGGTTGAGAAATTTGGAGAATTTATAAAAGATGAGAGAGGAACAAACAAAGTGCTAGAGGAATGGCTCTAGTTTTAGTTGGGAAAGGAAGGGAGGGAGGGAGACAGAGGGGAGGGAGGTGGAGAGGAAGAGAAAGAGAAGTGGGGAGGAGAACTGGAGGGATAAATGGAGGCGAGAACGCCAGCAAGTATTGTCTGTACCTAATGGTAGTGGTGGTGGTTGTTATGGTAGTGGTGGTAGTTACGTTAGTGGTAGCAGTGCTAAGGCCGTCAATTAAACATCCCAAAGAAGGATCGGCGACGCGCCGCCGGGCGCGTGTGGGCGACGGCGACGCATCTTTCGCGCTCACCGCCTACAGCTCATCACGTGCGACCTATCGCCCAATGCGTGACAGCCGCAGCTTCTGCCACAAGCTCCAGCCCAGAATCCACTGCAACTGCACCTCATCTCCATCGGTGTGATACCTGTGAGATCCACCAGGAGGGTTTCCTTTATTGTCCGAACTTTCAGTCGCTTGCAGCTGTTTTCTTTTCTTTCTACCTTGGTTCCTTTCGAAGCTACAATCTAGAAGACTTGTGTCGATCCTTTGTCTTTTCCAGATTACTCTGGGTTGGCAGTCGGTAGCACCGCCCGCTTGACACACACCCTCTTCTCCGTATGATTCCCTAAAGAGTCATCTCGATCTTATTCCCCTCTACCTCAACGTCAGCTCTCCAGTCGCTAACCGCCACTTTTCGCAGGTAGTCCAACTTTTCGACCCTTATCGCGAGCGAGACCACATCCTTTTGTCATGGCTGAAGATGATGCTGAGAACGCCTTTTTCCAGGCTCAGGCAATGAATGCGGACTCTGTGGACTATAAGGCTGTTGAAGAGCATACTGCAGATAGTTCAGATTCAGATGATTATGACCCTTCAAAAACACTGCCAGATCAGTATTCTGTTTCCTCCGCGACAGATTCCAAGCAAACTGAAAATGTTCCTTCCGTTGCTCCTCCTTCCATTTCCACCCCGCCACCAGACCAGACCTCTTCTTCTTCCCTTGCCCCTGAAACAGACCCTAGTCAGCAAGCTGGCAATACCTACCCTTCCCAAACACCTTCCCGAGCTGAGTCTCAGGCATCAACATCTGGCCTTGCCACTGGGGCTTCTGTTCCGCCCAAGACCAGGACGATTGGGGGGTTTGTGGTTGAGGATGAGGATGAGGATGATGCGGGTGATGCAGATGATTATGAGCCGCCGGCTGTACTAGGTGTCGAGGACATGAATACTATACCTTCGCAACCCATTTCAGGAAATGCAAATGAAGCTACTTCTACCCCTGATGTATCATTGGATGAGCCTGCGCAGGAGTCTGCCAGCGTCAAGAATGTCCCTAATAGCTCTTTCCCTGCTGCTTCTAAAAATGATGCGTCTGTGGCTTCGGGCCAGGAGTTGTACAACGCGCGTACTCTACCGCCGGACAGCGCGCAGGAGAGCAATGCAGCTACTCCCCAGCCGGAATCTCCCTCCACGTCCAAGGGTCGCCTGCCTCACGATCGCATCGGCATTCTGGAGGACAGGATCAAGGAGGACCCCCGAGGTGATATGTCTGCCTGGCTGGAGTTGATTAACGAACACAGAAGCCGCAATAGGATCGACAATGCACGCGACGTCTATGAACGCTTCTTGAAAGTGTTTCCTTTCTCGGTGAGTATCGCTGGATTCACTCGCCAGCGTGACCATTGTCGGCTAATCGCCTTCTAGGCCGAACAATGGGTTGCATATGCGAATATGGAAGCGGAGCTCAATGAGCTCTTCCGTTTAGAACAGATCTTCAGCCGGACCCTTTTGACCATTCCCGATGTCCGGCTGTGGACCGTATATCTGGACTACGTTCGTCGGCGGAATCCCCTGACTACGGATACCACGGGCCAGGCACGGAGGATCATCACTGCGGCTTATGATCTAGCCTTTCAACATGTCGGCGTCGATAAGGACGCGGGAGCCATCTACGCCGAGTATGTCCAATTCATTCGCTCGGGCCCCGGAAATGCTGGAGGGTCCGGATGGCAAGATCAACAGAAGATGGACCTGCTCCGCAAGGCCTACCATAAGGCCATCTGCGTCCCCAACCAGGAAACCAGCTCACTCTGGAACCAGTATGATCAGTTTGAAAAGTCATTGAATAAGATGACGGTAAGTCTATCAAGCCATTTTGTGGTTGGGAGATTGTCAGGCTCACATTGAATTTACATAGGGCTTCAAATTTGTACAGGAACAGTCACCGGCCTTTGTAACCGCTCGTACCGCTTACCATGAGCTGCAGCACATCACGCAGGGACTCCTTCGCACATCACTGCCCAGAATGCCGCCTGTGCCCGGCTCTGATGGCGACGTTGAGTATGCGCAGCAGGTGGAGATCTGGAAAAAATGGATTAAATGGGAGAAGGACGATCCACTTGTGCTGAAGGAAGACGACCCCGCGACCTTCAAAGCCCGGGTGATCTATGTCTACAAACAAGCTCTCATGGCCCTCAGATTCTTGCCCGAAATGTGGTTCGAAGCAGCCGAATTCTGCTTCCATCATGATTTAGAGAACGAAGGAAATGAGTTCCTGAAGCATGGCATAGACGCGAATCCGGAGAGCTGCTTGCTTGCATTTAAGCGTGCTGACCGGCTGGAAATCACTACCGAGTCGGAACAGGATCCCATCGTGCGCGGTGCCAAAGTCAGAGAACCCTACGACAGACTACTTGATTCGCTCTACGAGCTGATTGCCAAGGCTCGCACCCGCGAGGATCAAGATGTTGCTCGCCTGGAAGAAACATTCGCCAAGATGCAACCCGAGAAGCCGCCGTCGAAGAACGATGATGACGACGACCTGCAGGAGGCAAAGGCGCGGGAGTCTGTCAAGAAATCCCAGATCGAAGCCGTTCGGAATGCACATGCGATCCAGATAGGCATCCTTTCCAAGACTGTGTCGTTCGCCTGGATCGCTCTCATGCGCGCGATGCGCCGCATTCAGGGCAAGGGCAAGCTCAACGAGATGCCGGGATCGAGATCGATCTTCCAAGATGCCCGCAAGCGCGGTCGCATCACGAGTGATGTTTATATAGCGAGTGCTCTCATAGAATATCATTGTTATAAGGATCCTGCCGCTACCAAGATCTTCGAACGAGGTGCCAAGCTTTTCCCGGAGGACGAGAACTTCGCTTTGGAGTACTTGAAGCACCTCATCGACATCAACGATGTCATCAGTAAGTCCTTTTTCCCCCCACTGATTTCAAGAACCTTCAACGGAATGATACTGATCTCCGCCGTGCCAGATGCTAGAGCGGTCTTTGAGATGACCGTGAGGAAGTTGGCCGCCAACCCGGAGAATGTGCACAAGACCAAGCCCATCTTTGCCTTCCTTCATGAGTATGAGTCGCGGTATGGCGACCTCGTCCAAGTCATCAACCTCGAAACCCGTATGCGTGAACTGTTTCCCGAAGACCCAACATTGGAGCAATTCGCCCATCGGTTCTCGACCCCGGCTTTCGACCCCACAGCCGTGCATCCCATCATTTCACCCTCCCAGACCAGACCCAAGTCGGCGTATGCGGCTGACCAGATGATGTCTCGCCACGACACTCCCAACTCTCGATTTCCGGATCCGTCTATTACGAATTCACCCAAGCGGCAGTTGGAGGAGTTCGACGACGATATGGGCCGCCCACGCAAGTTCGTTCGGGCAGAGTCTCCGCTAAAGACCACGCAAAGACGCCAGATGGACCAGAAGCGCCCTATGGCCAATCAATCCCAGTTCAGATCCCAGGGGTCACCTGCTCCCCTCCCCCGAGACATTGTCAACCTCCTGAGTATGATTCCTCCGGCTTCTGCGTACAATGCAGGGCGGTTCTCTCCGGAGAAAATGGTCGATCTTATCCGCAGGATCGATATGCCTAGTTCCATCTCGCAAATCCCTTTCCCTCGTGGGCCCGGGGCAGGGCAAGCACCGCAATCCTTCCCTGGTATGTGACTACACTTCCTTCAAAACACCACTGCTTGTGATGAAGAGGGGGCTAATAGCTCTTGGCTTCCAGGTGCCTATCGTTCTTAATCTATGAGTCATATAAACACGTTGTCGTGTAAATTCTTTTTTCCTGCGTGAATGTGGCCACCATGCACCCGCGCTGTATCATTCGTTCTCATTTTTGGTTGCGACAGCGGCGCGGCTCTGGACTGTACAGTTGTTGGTCGTCTTTTGCATTTGATGAGTGGGCGTTTCAAGCTTGGCGATTCCGTCGGTTGATCTTCATTTTTAGTGTCTATTTTAATCGCGTCGGGCGGCTTTGTACAGTGTGGCATCGGCCTGGGAAAGGCGAGGCTTGGGTTGTTGATGCGGGGATCCTATCATTCAGTTCTCTACCTTCTCGCTATATCACCCGATCAATCAACTGTGTTGACCCATTTATTCCATCTGCAGAATACCGTAGCCCTCGAAGACTTTGGGATGTGATAGTATTGTGTCCGGGCAATTTCGTCATTTTCGAGCCTGAAGCGAACTCGGTTAGCGTTCATCTTTGGTTGAATTGCCGTGCTGAGTTTACTAACCAACAAGTAGGCTCATGCATTCGAACATCAAGTGTCTGCGTAGATCGTCGCATATGTCACTGCTGTTTGCAGCTGCGGTGGAGAATGGAGAAAGATGGTGGTTGTCGTGCACAAGCTTACGGCTCGTATGTCCTTGGAGTCATGTCTACGACCATTGCGTTGCTCGGTCCTAAAATTGGTATAATGGTCTTCCGGTTCGAGCATAAGGCTGTCAGGGATTGAGATGTGTCCTAGCACATATATACAGACTTGGGGGGCCGAATTGCAGTTACCACTTTTGTTTATATCCGCACGAGGTTGGATGTATGTGTTCTTTACCACCAGGCTGGAATTGATATTCCTATTTCTGGCTTGTAATGTATACAGACCACGAGCAAGACTCAGACACCTCATCTGTATCAGCTGTAGTCAACATCGATGCTCAGATGGGAAGCATGACGCCCAGTGGCACTTAAGCATCACTCGCCCATCACTTGCTCCGCAGCACTTGCTCGCGATAGCTTCAGCTGCAACTCATATAGCACCCACATCTACTTCTCTGCCGGCTTACAACTATACCAGTTAGCAACACCTCATCTCGACCCAGCTGTTTTCCCTATATCTCATGTTGTATCACCTCAGGGTCCCCGTCAATTCCTCGTTTGCTCCTTTCCGGTAGCTAACCTCGTTTGCCCCGGAGAGTACCTAGATATCACTCACAACGAACTCTCACATTCTCTCTTATATTTGCCTTACCCACTGGCTTATTTCCTTTTCTACCGTCCATCCCGTTCTTGGTCTTCCTCTTTGGGTGAGCGCGTCGCGGTCGTGGTTACCAGCAACACATCGCGTACCACACTCTCATCACTCATCTCTGGCCTCACTCCCACCCTCTTCTTCTCAATTCTCGAGTCATCTCTTCCCTCATCTCTTCCCTCACCTCTCCGCTCATCTCTCCACTCACATCCAACCTCACCTATACCCTAGATTCATACTTCGGCCCTCTCCACATCCCTCAGTCCTCCTTCCATCCTTCCTCACATCTTTCCTTCCACTCCTCCATCCCACTCTCAATCCGTCAGAATACCCATAGCAGCGACACCCATCCCCTCGATTCCCTGCCTGAGACAACGTCCTCTGCCTGTTGACATCTTTCTCCATACCTGCAAGCAGCAATTGCTCCGCTGCCTGCGTCCTAATTCCTCCCCATCCTAATTATCCTTCAATTGGCCCCTTGTGCGCATCCCTATTTTCCGCAATCCTTATACCTTAATCTGCTTCACTGCACGCAAATCCTGGTCGATCTTGCTTGACCGTCGAAGTCGAATCCTATCAGGTATGTGCTTCCGAAGCAGGTTCGCCTCGCCCCGCTCGTGCACCCATGTGCTTGCATTTGAGCCGGTCATGCCAATGCTGGAGCTCGGTCTGTGCTATGAGCTAGCGGTCGAAAATTCGCTGCTATTGCACCGGGGGGCATTGCATGCAAGCATGCTCGACATCTGCAATACATGGCTTGTCACATTCTCGAGCCCTTAATCACTGTGCTGCGTAACGAGCTGGCTGACATGTCGAGTTGCAGGAGCAAACGGAAATATTCCAACATCGGCTCTCCTGCTTAGCAAAATGGCTAGCCATAGCTCTGGTCCGTTGGCGGATCCTGCCTTGGAGAAGCCGAAATTGGTCACAGACATGTGCAGGAACATCGATTTGCCCATGGGAGCATACAATGTTAACCACCTGGTATGTTCATTTCCTGTTAGGTGTTTTCCAGTCAAACGGTTGCTGTCAGTCAAGGCACTGGGGATAGTAGGGTTGGTGATAGTCGCGACGATGCTGTATTTTCCGAAGATTTTTGTCTGTCCTGTCTGTCGCTTTCTCTCATTCTCGTATTCACTCTGCATCGTCTGGACCTTGCATGATCTAATCGCACTTTCTTCTCCCCGAGTTCTGTATTCACCTCCTCTGTTCTGTCTCCATTGAAACCCCGCATTATGGCACTCCTTTTATCCTTGTTATGGGGAATGGCCTTGAATCACTTTGGATCTATACTATTCACTCCGGCTCTTGGTCGAATGGCCCCATTCATCCTTCTGGAGATTTACTACATGTTGTCAGCTTCCTATTGAAGACACCTGGTCTTCACTATTCTTGCCCACAGATCCTTGAATGGTTTTCATTGCTTCACTGAGCGGCAGACCCTGGTTCTGTTCCACCTCCAATATATAAGAACCCTCTACCCTCTCTCTTTCTCTCTCTCTCTCGTCTTCTTCCTTCCATTCTCCATCATCCTTTCTTAACCACAACTCTTCAAACATTGAACTTCGTCTTCTACCTTCGTCTTTCATAAGCTACCTACCTTCGTCTTTCTCAAGCTACCAAGACTTCCCTTTGCGTTTGACGTACAGCTACGTCTGTCTATCACACCCTACATTCCCAGCCTTATCTCTCTACCCTACCCTTCCAATCTCCTATTTGATCTTCGTTTCTATTCAACATGGAAAACCTGGAAGCCATCGACAAGCTTCCAGATGGCCTCCGCCATCTGAGAATCCGTACTGATGACGAAATGGAAAAGTACAAAATTCCATGCGAGACCGTTCCTCGCCCGGCCTTCAACACCACAGGAAAGGAGATCGAGGTCACTTTGAACGCCTATCCGATCCTCAAGTTTCCAAGTAGGAAGATTTTCCAGTACGATGTAAGTATAGGCCGCTCAACTACTAGCATGTCATACTCACAGTCTACCTAGGTCCAGATTGGCAACGGCGCCGAGAAGAATGTCGTGATCAAGAAGGTCTGGGATTCCAGTGCTAGGAAGGCCGCCCTCAGGGGCATCATTTTCGATGGCCAGAAACTGGCTTGGTATGTCTCGCCCCGCGTCCTCGTGTGCAGCCCGACTGACATAATATTAGGACCTTGAATGATTACAAGGATGGCGTGAACATCATGGTCGATTTGGACGCTGAGCAAGGCCGTCCCAAGGGTGCTAAGGCCAATGTTTTCCGTCTGCTTGTACGACCCACCAAAGCTGTCGATCTTTCGGCCTTGAACCTTTGGCTCCAGGGACGCACCGATATGTCGGAGAATGTCCTGCAAGCTTTGAGTAAGTAGCCTATTTTGCTGAGCACGATCAAGAGCTAACGAACGTCACAGACTTCCTTGATCACGTCCTCCGCGAACATCCATCTACCAAGTACGTGGCAATCAAACGCTCGTTCTTCGACCCTGAAGGCGCCTGCCAGGATTTGGGCCAATGTGTATACGCCTTCAAGGGTGTGTATCAGGCTATTCGTCCTGCTTTGGTGAGCGCATTCAGTCTCCTCTTTTGCCGCTTTGCTTACTTATACTTCTTGCAGGGCCGTGGACTTATCGTGAACATCGACGTCTCCAACACTTGTTTCTGGTCTCGCTGTGGTGTGATGCAGTTGGCAATTGCCGTACTGGATGCCAGAGATATTCAAGAGGTTGTGCACAAATGTGCGCCTATTTCAGATAAGCATGGCGGTACGACCGAGTCTCCACATTTCTTTGAGGTTCATCGCAAGGTGAGAAAGCTTGTAGTGCAAGCCCACTACAGAGGTTGTCCCTGCACTGGGGTCAACTTCACCATCAAGGGCCTGGTCAACGGCAATGCCCGCCAGTACATGCTTGACATTAAGGACAAGGCCACCGGAAAGGTCGAGCGCATGAGTGTCGAGCAGTACTTCAAGAAGAGGTACAATATTTTCCTCGATTACCCTGAGCTGCCTATGGTGGAAATGACCAAGAAAGGTGTTGTTTACCCCATGGAGCTCCTCACAATTCATGGCTTTACCCGCTATCCTTGGAAGTTAAACGAGTATCAGACCTCCGCGATGATCAGGTATTGTGCTTCTCGCCCAGCTGAGAGACTTAACTCGATTCTGGGTAACAAAAAGATGATGGACCACTCCAACGACCCTGTCCTGCGTGCTTTCGGACTCCAGGTCGATAACAACATGATCCGGGGCAAAGCTCGTCTTCTCCCAAGCCCCGACATTCAATTCGGTGGTAACCAACGCCACAACCCTGGAACAAACGGCCGCTGGGACCTTCGTGGCAAGAAATTCTACCAGCCAAACCGACGCGCCCTCGAGGCCTGGGGTGTGGGATATTTTGTGGGCAAGCGTGGTGCTGCCAACAAAGCTCAGGTTGAAGCCTTCTGTGACGGTCTCATGAAAGCCTATGCGGGACATGGCGGACAAGTGGCGCGGCGGCCAGTCGTTGTCGAGCTCAAGGAAGATATTGGTGAAGCGATCAAAAAGCTCTATGACACGGTCATGGCTAAGTGCGGCAAGCAGATTCCTCAGCTTCTTATGGTTGTTGTCCCCAACAAGGACTCCTTTGCTTACCACCGGATCAAGAAGTCATGCGACTGCCGCTTTGGTATTCCTTCTCAGTGTGTGCTTGCATCCCACGTCATGAAGGGGAACCCACAGTACTATTCCAACGTCCTGATGAAGGTCAATGCCAAACTTGGTGGCACCACAGCACGTGTGGTCTCTAAGACGCCGGGCGCAACTCTCCGACCCAACTCCATGATTATCGGAGCAGATGTCACGCACTCCCCAATGGGCGTTTGGTCACCCTCCATGGCCGCTGTCTCTGTTTGCATGGACAACTTCGGTGGTCGTTACTTCGGTGCTTGCGAGGCTAATGGAGATCGTGTTGAGATTATCAACCGTGCCAATCTTGAGATCATGCTTACTCCTCTGATCCGTGAATGGATGTCTACCGTTGGACAGGGGCGTGCCCCGGAGCATGTCTATTACTTCCGCGACGGCGTCTCGACCGGCCAGTTTGAACAGGTCCTTAAGTCGGAGGTGTTCGATATGAAGGCCATCTTTATGAAGCTTACCCAGGATAGATGGGCCGGCAAATTCACTGTTGTTATTGCGAACAAACGGCACCATCTGCGGGCTTTCCCCAGACCCGGTGACCGCAATGCTGCGGATAAGAACGGCAACCCACTGCCCGGTACTTTGATTGAAAAGGATGTGACTAGTCCTCATGATTGGGACTTCCTGCTCTACTCGCATATTGCGCTTCAGGGTACCTCTCGTCCTGTGCATTACCATGTGATCTTGGATCAGATTGGACATAAGTCTCATGAACTCGAGAATTTGATTTACGACCACTGTTATCAGTACATGCGGTCTACTACATCTGTTTCACTGCGTATGTTGACTACCCCTTGTCATTTCCACTGCTATTGACACTAAAATTTCTAGATCCGGCGGTTTATTATGCGCATTTGATCGCAGCTCGTGCGAGGAACCACGAGGATGTGTCTTCGAGTTCGGGCCCGCAGAGTGGACCAACGGTCAAACTTACCAACCCGAAGCCTGAGAAGCGTCCTGCCGATCCAAGACTGCTTCCCATGGTCGGTAACTCGAACAGACTTCCTTTCACCATGTGGTACATTTGAGACTGCGATGCAATCTGGGGATGATTTGACACGGTGCGGTGAGATGGTTTTTAATGGCATTGAGGGCGGAGAGTTGGAGAGTCGGAAGAAAGGGGTTTCCTTTGCAGTTTTTACCCAGTCAACCATGACTTGGATGATCTCTCTACTATCTTGTATTTATGTGATAGCGACTCGGATTGCAGCTTGGTTTTCAGGTCGGCAAGTTGCCTAGTTGATTGGAACTGACCGGTCCTTCGGGACTGGACGGATTTGAACGACAGGGCCAGCTGACTAGAGACGTAACTGCATCCAAGAATTAGCTATCAGAATTGCTTAATTGAACAATCAAAGCTTCTCAAGCCCATTGTGTTTGATCGTAGGTTTGGGAGCAGGATCTGACGATTGTATGGCTCGTGGAATGGCCGACATCTTCAGGGGCTGGGATGCCGGCAGGGAGGTTACACGACTTCATTCCGAACAAACGATCTCGCTTACGGAGCCATAGTCATCAGATGACAATCCTGGAAATGGAGATCCATCGTAGCTCGGCTGCAGGCTCCAGTCCCGGTCCAGGTAAACAAAACTGCTGATGCTTACCAACCGTCGGAGATGACAACCCCCAGGGATTCATCCCGGAAATGGCTCGCAACAAACGCGCAACGGCCGCCCGATGATCTGTCTAGATCACCTGCACGCAGGCAGATGAGGAATAGGGTAGCGACTAGAGGGAGAGAATCAAAATGGAGAAAGGGGGAGCAATAGAGAGGGCAACAACCAATCCCAACCCCATGCTGTTTGTTCTTCTTGCCGATTCCAAATTAGTAGTGAGAACGCAGGCTTCTCAGCCTACCTACTTACCTACCTACCTACTTACCCGACAGGGTCGATCGTCACTTCCCACTTCTGTCATACTTGTAGTTGTAGCTGTTCCAGCATCATGAAAGAAGGGAGCAGCTTCGTAGTCACAAGAAGACCACAAAGTGCAGCGCAGTGCAGTTACTGTCCAGTTCAATCGCAAATGATAACTCAACGGAAAGGTTGAGGCCGACGAAAGATGATCGTGATCTAGGGACTCGAGAGCAAACGTATTATCCTTTTTGTTTGGCGGTCTGTCTGGCTCTGGGAAATTGGAAAGGGGAAGGGGAAGGGAAAGGATCTTTTCGTCTCCGTTACTTGGGTTGTCAATCTTGTTTTTTCTATTGTCTTAAGTAAAGATCATTCGAGGGATGGGGGTCACGCCCGCTGCCTGCTGTCCGCTGTCCGCTGTCCGCTGCATCAGCAATAGGTATGGAATTTAAGTGCTTATGTGAGAGAGATGGATGACCCCCCAGCAAGCGCCAGAGCAAGAGAGTCGAGACTCGACTCGGGTTTGGCATCCCGGCAAGGTGGAATCTTCTGGTTTGTGCGTTGGGCATTGCGCGTTGTGCGTAGGTTTGCGAGCGGATGATGCGTGTACCCGGTTGTCTCTGGTTCTTCTGCATTCGCCGAGGGGTGGGATGGGGGTGGGAAGAAACCGAGGCGAGAGCGAGAGCGTGGGCCAAGTCTATCTCTCTCTCTCTCTCTCTCTCTCTCTCTCTCTCTCTCTCTTGTCTTAGGTGATTGTGAGTGAGTGGGCTGGTTGTTTGATTTGGATTGGACACGTTGAGTGGTTTTTGTTTTTGTTTTTGTCTTTGCCTTAGAAATCTCCCTCTGTGAACATCCTCGATAACTACTCAAGAGAAAAATTGACGGGATGAGTTAGGGCTGTGCCACCCTTTCGGAATACTGCTGCTGCTGCGCCCATCGGAGAATCGGTGTATCCCACTCCCAAGGCCAAAAAAAAAGTACCGGTGACAGGGATCAAGATTTGATTTATTATTTTGATCTGATCTATCGACTGTGGTTTGCCTGAAACATGTACGGCGGGTGGAGGACCCGGAGTCAAATCTCATACCAAAGGGATTCTGGTTTGCACAAGTCTCGTTCCTTGAAAGATATGTGGATTCACTTTTTGGATTTGCTGATCTCTCCGCTGCCCTTCGCTGCACTCATACACACCGGTAATCTGGAGTAAAGAAAAAGAAAACACGCGCCTATCGCACACTGAGCACAGCCAAAAATCACAAAAAGGACGGGGAAGCAGAGAAAGAAAGGGAAAGAGGGTGGACAGGGTGATGCTGTCGGATGTTAAGGTGGCAAAAATATACTCAAAAAGAAGACAAATCACGAAGGGAAAAAGGGTTCACCATGCCAGGTATAATTGTAAGAGGTAGGGAGAAAGGGACGAGAAGTAAAAATGGCAAACGCTACAGTTACAAGAATCTCCAAAACCGACCTTGTGCCCACCCGCCAGTCACCCGAGCCCAGAAAAAAAGGTTGAACGTGAGACCACTCAAAAAAAGGGTCTTATACCATGATCATCATAACATTTCATGACGCATCAATAGCCACCGTTCCGTTCGTCAGTGGTGCAGCATTGTCAACGCTTTCCGCACCGACGCCATCAGGCCCGGTATCCATGTCCCCTTTGCCACTAAGGTCAGGAGTGGCATCCACAGAAGGCTCATCAGCGGGATTGGGCTTGACAGCGGTGGTGGCTGAAGCTTTCGTGCCATCCACACCCGGCAATGCCTCCTCTCCTTCTACAACAGATTCAGAAGCGCCGATACTGGCCCCACTGTATTTCTTGACTTTCTTCTTACTGGGTTCCGACATTCCGAGCTTGGAGGCGGGTTGTTGGCTTGCAGCAGATGGGGGAAGAGGTCGCTTCTGGGGGCTGGTGGTGAGACCTGAAGCTGCTGCAGGTGGCTGGATTTTGCCGGATGCAGGAAGACGAGGTCGGGCGGCCGTAGGTCGTTGTTTCGGGGGAAGCTCAAGATCTTCGACTAAAGACTCGCTGTTACTGGTCTTCAACTTGGCACCAAGGAACCCTTGTACCAGACCAATTTGCGAAGACAATGTCTCAGATGTGATGCGAGGGTAAGCGGGAGGCGGGGGAAAGAGCGTGACAGCTTGTGCAGCACTGATGACAATGTCAGCATGAGTGTCTCAGTGTGGGAGGAGTGAAAAAAGACGCACCTTGTGTTCTGGGCCTGGGCAGCATTGTACATCCTATTCTGCAGAAGATGAAGCGGAACACTAAGGGTAGCCAACCCAAACTCTCTGTCCAGCCCCAACTCCTTGAATCCGAAGAAGTCTTCATCGATATCTTCGGCGAAGTCACCGCCAATGAACTGCTCGCTTCCGTCTTGAAAGGCACTGGAACCATCTTCGCCGCCATCCGCAAGGGCAGGTCGCAGAAGCTCGGACAGCAACGACCGAAGACGGTCATGGGCAGTTGAAAGCTTGGTCCCGAGACGTTCGACGTCGTCCTTGATGTATGACTCCAGGCTTTCCACATCGACACCAACAGAGGAGAGCGTATGGAGGACCATTTCCGGTTCCGTATACGCTCGTTTCCATTGCGGCGCTGTGTTCGGTTCTGGAGTTTCAGTCGCCGGAAGCTTCGGTGTTTCCATGTATGACTTCAAAGTCTCTCCAATTTTTTGAAAAAAATCCGAGGCGATGTCGGTTACTGCGTCTAGAGCTGACGGTTGATACTCTTCGAAACCAGTGTGATAGAATATCTTCGCTACTGAGCGCTGAAGGGCTGCTTTGCACACCCACGGAGAAATGACCGGGCCCCCGTCGTTCATCACATGCGCGGGAACATCGTGTTCAACAAACGGTTCAGGCTGATATTTCTGGAACTGGTTTTGGTACATCTGCGGCGCATCAGGACCCGTGATCTCCAAAAAAGTCTTAAGGATTACTTACCTGAGATTGCAGCTGCATCTGCTTAACAATGCCGATCTTCGAGCACACCTTCCGTGTCTCCTGCATTTGACGCATGTTCGCATCCATCTTGCGAGAAAGTTTGCTGTCCGGTTGAGTGAAAGACCCGGACGGCAGCACGCGCAAGAATTCTTCAGAGGCATCCACAATGTTACCATCGGAGTCCTCCTTCCATGACAAATGCGGAGGCAGGTCAGGAACGCCCGACATTACGTCGTAATAATCAGGAATAACTCGATCCTCGTCCACCTCGATTCCTTCGGCTAAGGTCTCACCCGCTGCACCAGGGTCCAGACCCTGCGCAGTAGACTCGCGGGCTTTGTCGCCCTCGGCATTGATTTGCATCTGGTTTCTCAGCCACCGCCTCATACCAGCCTTGGTCCTAAGCAGGGCCGGCTCCTCAGAGTTGAGTTTGTCGCCCTTGAACAGGCGATGTCGCTCCGCGGCTATGACAGCACGATCCTTTTTCGTGACCTGTTTCCAGACTTTATACTCGGGGTCCTCCGACTCCACGCCAGACGCCGGCAAGGCAGTCAGGGTGTTGTTGTTCGAAGGTATTAACCCATCAATCTCCATAGCGTCACCCTGGCTTCCTTGGACACCGGCGCCAACACCAGCAGGATCCGATGGGGTTTGCGTTCCCCCGGGAGGTGGCGTGGGAAAGCCATTCTGGGTGCCTTCCATCACGGTGTCTGAATCCGACCGTACAGGCGCGGATGGTTGAGAGGCTTGACCCGCAGGAGGTTCCGATCCGCTGGGGGTATTCCGCGCAGGAGCAGCTCCCTTCTTCGATGACTTGCCAGGCGCCTTCCTTCCGCGGGACGACATGATGGGCTCATCGTCGCTCTCGTCTGCGCCATCCATCTCGGCGAGCTGGAGCCTCCGCTCTTCTGCTTCCACCTCAGCCCGGTCTCTAATGACAATCTCCGGGATAAGGGGAACGAGCTTCTCAGTTTCTTTCTTCATATACAATGCATGTTTACGCAAGAAGTGCTCGGGGTTAGTGTTGTATTTGAAACAATTGGACCATATTAGGTTGATATCGTCAACGAATTCCTGCTTCGACTTATACTGCAGAGCTTTGAGCTTCTTAGTCATAGTGCCAAGGTCCATGGGGTGCTTGATAACTGAGATAGGGGTTAGCATATTGAAGAGCGACGATCCGTTCGCAAGACAACAGAGAGTTCTTACTCGTGTAGTAGTCAGGCGCATCGCGCTTGTTGACACGGGTCAAAAACGCCGTCGAGTGTTCTGTCATGGCTTTGAGTTCACTGAGGACCTTCTCGGCGGCCTCATAGAGCTCCTCT